CTCCATTGTGCACTCGCCACCTTTCGCTCGGCGTCGTCGTCTAGATGTTCCAGAGTCAGCAGCTCAGCAGGACGAGATCATTAGAGGCATAGCCGCTACAGAGGAGGAGCAGCTTGAGGCACAGCAGGGGATGACCGAATCTAGTGATAGTTCGAATGATGACTATCTGTCGATTCCTCAGATGCCTCCACGCAGACATGATGTAGAGGCCGACAATTCCAGCTCAGCTCCACTAGCACCACAGACGGACCCTGCATTGATTACCATTCTTGAGCGGATGCAGCAGGATCAGGCACGACAGGCACAAGAGACTGCTGCAAACTTTGCACAGTTCTAGGCTCGTCAGGATGAGTTCCAGAGGCAGCAGTAGCTTCTCCAGCAGCAGCAGCAGCAGATGCATCAGCAGCAGTTACTTATGTAGCAGCAGCTCATGGGATTCATGCAGCATGTAGTGACAGCTCTTGGGGCTCCACAGCCACAGCCTTCGCCCCAGCTTGCTCAGCCTGCCACCACTACGACGACTCTAGCTGTGCAGCCCAGTGGGCTTTAGAGTCAGGGACAACCTCTAGTGTAGTTTGCTTCACCTCTAGTTCAGGTGTCCCAGTGGTTGTCTTCACCTGTGGTAGCCCCGCAGTTCACTCCATTACAGACATGTTTCACTCCGGAGCAGTCACCCTCGCTTTTTGTGCCTGACACGTCAGTCTCCAGGAGTCTTGGAGCATCCTTCAGCGAGTTGACAGGGATGCCTACATCACCACATATGCATGCCCCGGGTCCTTCTACTATAGCTCCAGTCGCCGTGACGACACAGAGGCTTCCCAGCTCAGTTGGTTCCTCAGATCCTACGACAGATGTACCAGCAGCTTCACACAGCAAAGCACCGGCCTAGCTCAGACCTCCAGCTCGCTCAAATGACACTTCTCGCTTCAGAGGGTCGGTCGATTGAGCTCAGGTGAGATGATGATGGCGCCTAGTTCCACATTGCTACACGTTCAATACCGACTCATCCGCCGCTGCCCCACCGACCGACCCTTAGTTTTGGTGTTTGACGCCAAAGGGGGAGAGGGACGAGTATGTAGATTCAGGGGGAGCATCTTTTTAGGGGGAACTTAGATTATTAGCTTTGTTTCTTTTTTTGCATTTGGAGTTTCTATGTGTGATACACTTTTATTATTATGCATTCGTGTGTTTACTTTCATGCATATTATTATATCTATGTGATAGTGATATCTGCGTAATTGTGATATATGATATGTGTGCTCTCTACTTTACATTATTTATATGTCATATCACTTGTGCTATGCTCATTTGCCTTTACTTCCGCGTTTATACTCCGATGCAAATGAGTTTTGTTTCTTGTACTCATGCATACTTCATATCTTTTGAGTACATTGTGTTGGCTTGGGTCATATAAGCTTGACTAACACTTTTGTTCTTATCGATAAAAGCTTATATGAACCAAGTCCGTCAAAAACCTCACTCTTTCACATACTCGAGGTGGTATTGTCATCAATCACCAAAAAGGGGGAGATTGAAATCATCTAGGCCCCTTGTTGGATTTCGGTGATTAATGACAACACAAGATTACTATGACTAACGTGTGTTTTACAGAGGCAATTAAGTTAGGTCATGGTAATGGTGATCGATTGAGCAATCGAGGTGGTCATGCCCCTACGATGGAAATCGTTTCGGTTTTCAAAGGATGAACGACAAGGTTAAGGATGACTAGTTCTAAGTGTCGATTGGAGTTGGAGTGACACTTGGAGTAGTTTAGGACTTTGTTTTTCCTTTGGCCGTACTATTAAGGGGGGTATGAACGGGTAGCTTGACCTAGACGAGTCTAGTGAGTTAGGTGTGGTGCACACTTGTTTAAACTAGCTCCAGGTAGCTCCTACATATGCCTAAGATCTAATGGAGCAAACTTCATTCACTCATGATCGAGAGTTGAAGGTGAATGGAGGGTCAAATACTGACCGGACGCTGGCCCCGGTGCGACCGGACGCTGGCCACAGGGTCCGGTCAGTTCATTTGATCAAGGGACAACGTTCGGTGCGACCGGACGCTGGAGTGGTCAAGTGACCGGACGCTGAAAGGCAGCGTCCGGTTGACTCCAGTAAGGTTCTAGAGAAGAGAATCTGCGACCGGACGCGTCCGGTAAGTACTGACCGGACCCTAGGGGTTCAGCATCCGGTCGAGTACAGTAAGGTTCCAGTAAGGTTTTAATGTGACCGGACGCGTCCAGTCAGTGGTGACCGGACTCTGTCAGCGTCCGGTCAACTTATTTTCTCTGGTTCGCAGGTTGAACTGACCGGAGCATCCGGTCATCATGACCGGAGCGTCCGGTCACCCCGCAGAGGCACATAACGGTTTGTTTTTTAGGCTGCCTTATAAATAGAAGCTCCACTCGTGTGTGGAGTTACTTTTGCTTATTCCAACAACTGAGAAACACGTTTGTGAGTGCCAAGAAGAGCAAGGTCCTAGTGAGGTGATTGAGATTTGAGAATCCAAGAGAGTAGCCTCATTAGTGAATCAAGAGTAGTCAAGTGTGCATCCATCTTCTCATTAGGCTTCGCGTGGTCAAGTGAGAGTTCGTGCTTGTTACTCTTGGTGATCGCCATCACCTAGACGGGTTGGTGGTGATTGGGAGCTTGGTGATTACCCAGCGGAGCTTGTGGGTGACCCAACTCAAGTTGTGAGCGGCTTTGGGTGATTCGCCGCGACGGAGTGTCGAAAAATCAACCCGTAGAGAGCACTTGATCCTTGCGCGGATCAAGGGGGAGCTACACCCTTGTGCGGGTGCTCCAACAAGGACTAGTGGGGAGTGGCGACTCTTCGATACCTCGGCAAAACATCGCCGCGTTTCTCTCTCTCTCCATTTACTTTGAGCATTTACTTTGAGCAACTCAATACTTGTCTTTACATTCATAGAATTGCCATGTTAGAGTAAGTTTGGAACATAGGATGCTAGTCCGTTGTGCGTTAGTTTATTAGAAACTCTTTTCTAGGCACGAGGGGTTAATTGGGCTAACCATAGGATTTAATTATTGCAAGAAAAATTTAGAATTAGCCCAATTCACCCCCCCCTCTTGGGCATCTTGATCCTTTCATCAACTATTGTTGTGGTCCTCTTAAAAATAGACACAAACACATCTACTATCTCCTATATATCTCAAATCATTTGCCAGCTTCACATATCTTATCCTTACATTTTGTCTTAAGACAAGAAGAAAGATATTGGAAAACTAAAAGATGTTCCAATATGTTCAACTCTATAATTATGGCAATCTTAGGATCCAACCTCTGCACATTCCTCACTGTCTCACAAAGTTGGTAAACAGTATGAAGGAATTAGACAATGGAACGAAATCGAAACAAGGGACCTTTTCCAATTGTGCTTAATGATGAAGAACAAACATGAGCCAAATCTAACACAAACCGCTTGCTAGGTTCAACCAAGATTGAGCTTGATTACGCAAAAAGAAAGCCCACCTCAAATCCTCTCCTCTTCTCCCTAGATCCAAAAAAGTGCCGTTTTACGCACCATCCAGGTCGATCCCACGAAGCAAGAGCACGTGCTTCTTTGCCATGATGATCGCTGACACGACAATCACGACCTCATCCCACGAACAACCATCTCCTTTGGAGATGAATTCAGAGATCTCTTTCCTTGGAAGCCTGCGAAGAAAATTCTGACATCCCAATAGGCCATTAGAACAACAGGTCGAGTAGAGTAAAGCAAGGTAGTGATAGGGCAGAGGGTAGGTAGGTCGGACCTGGGTGACGAGGTGGCAGGCGAGGGCGGCAAGGTGGTGGGCCAGGGCGGCGCACGCTGGAGTAGATGCGGGGACCGTCGGGGTCGGGGAACGCGATGGCCGTGGTGGAGGCGGGGAAGCGGCCGAGGGCGGAGCGCTCGAGCTGGTGGTTGTAGGGCGCGACCTGCTAGGGGCTGGCGACCATGAGCACGACGGCGTCCCAGGGCGGCACACACGCGGGGTCACGCGCTGATAGCCATAGGCGGCACCACGCCTTCTGCAGCATTGCCTCCTTCTCCTCCTCCGTGCACACCCTCCGCCGTCGCGGTAGTGAGTTCGGTGCCTTCGAACGGCCGCTGGGTGACACCAGCGTGGAAGAACCAGTGGGGTGAGGGAACCCTAGCCGCGGGATCCCCTGCTCCTCCTACTCGTCCGCGCCGCTATCGCGTGCCTTGAATTTCGCGCGCTTTGAGGAGCTGAGCCACGCCTCGTGGCAGCAGGAGAAAGAAGGTTTTAGGGAAGGAGGAGGAGGAGGAGCGGGGGTGACGGTGATGCGTGGACGGGGGAGCGAACGGGAGGCGGAGATCCGCGTTAGGGCAAAGAGAGAGAGAACGCGAACAGATGGTGTTTCATTTTTTCGGAAAAAGACAACCTGCGGAGGAATCGAACTGTGGCCGCGGGGTTTGGGGGCGGGGGAGGGTGCGTTACTGCGGGAGGTGGAGATCCATTGAACCCTGGCCATTGGATTTGGTTAAGGAGAGAGGATGGCTGAGAGATCATTCGATGCTACATGTTTTTAAGATGCTACGTGTTTTTAAGATGCTACGTGTTATTTTTTGGATCGCCAGGTATTAATCGAGGCGGTTAGATATTATGACCTCTCCCGGCGGCAGCCCTCTCTCCTCCCTGCCGTAGAAAACACACTTAGATTTCACGTTGAATACAAGAAAACATGTGGCAAGCCGGCCGCGCAGAGTGGAGTCAGTGAACTCAAATTGACCGCATCCCGCCGAGTCAACACAGATTCTCAGTGAACTTGCCGTCCATGTCTATCTCTCTCTAAAGCTCTTTAAGAAGACATATATAATATGTTCAGGCTATTGACGAAATCATTTCCCCATGCAAATAGAAACCTTTGAATAGTGTTGCAAACAAGTACCCACTTATTTACCTCAAAAACAAATCCCATCTGCTACCAGAAAATCAGGGCACGAGGAAGATTGTAAAATCGCAATTCTCCACTCACGGATGAAGTCAAGACCCCATGTGAGGAAGCGTAGTCCACGGTCCACGCACACCAGTGTAACCATACCGGATGGTCCGAACCAACAAGTAACCCCACGCACACGCACCCACTAATTAACGACCAAACCCCACTGCGAAATTATCCGAAACACCCTCCGGTGTCCGGTGTGAACCAGGGACGCGGAACGGGAATAAAATAAGCGCTGGAAAGGAGGGACTGATTAGACATTTCCTCCAATAGGATCACGCGTCACGTAACCCCGCGTCCGGGCACATGCACACGCGAACCCACCACCGATTAAGCCCCGCAAAAAAAATATTAAATCAGAAAATTTCCAATCGCTTCTGCGAAAAAAAAAATCCTCTTTTTTTATTTTTGTGTGTGTTTTGTTTCTAGTGATAGCTTTGCTCTTGCTCGCTCTCCTCGCCTGGGCGACTGGGACTCCGCGTGCGCCTGCCTCCTTCATCCACTTCGCCATCTCCTCCTCCAGCTGCAGGCCGGCGCCTCGGCTTTGCCTCCCCCTCGCGCTCGCCGCCGGCATTCCGGCAGTTCCTGCTCTAGGCCTTCAAGAGGGTAGCGCCGGGATGGACGACCCGAGCGCCTCCGCCGACCCCGCCGGTGCCGCGCGCCACCACCTCGCCGCCGCAGCAGCAGCTAGGGGGCCAGCCGCCGGTGCCGCGCTCCCCTACCCCGCTCGACCTGGCCTCCGCCGCCGCGGCGTCCGGGTACCGCCGCCTCTCGCCGTCGCTCCGGCCGCCGGCGCACCCGCACGCCGCGCGGCTCCCGTCGCCCTACGGCCAGATCCCTTCGCCCGGCGCCGGCGCCCACCACGCGCGCTCGCTCTCCCAGCCGCTCTTCTTCTCGCTCGACTCGCTCCCTCCGCCGCTGCCGCCCTACGCCGATCTGGGCGCCGCGCCAGCCATCCCGCCCTCCCCGCCGCCGTCGAGCTCCGCCGACCCGCCGCCGTCGCTCGGCCTGCCGCCCAGGAGGGCCGGCCACCGCCGCTCGCAGAGCGACATCCCCTTCGGCTTCGCGCAGCTCAGCCCGCCGCTGCCCCCGCCGGCGCCCGTCAAGCGCGAGGTCACCACTGCGGCCGACGGCTGCAGATCGGACGGCGGCGGCGATGACGCCGCGCTCTACGACCTCGTCAACTCGTACATGGACCTGGACGGGCTGGACCCGCTCAACTCCTCCGAGGACCGCCACGACGACCGCGACAGCCGCGCCAGCGGCACGCGGGCCGGGGGCGCGGCGGAGAGCAGCGAGAACGAGGCGGAGAGCCAGTCGACGTCAATCGACAGGAAGGATGGGGGCAAGTCCCGGCATTGTCGCAGCCTGTCCATGGACAGCTTCATGGGCAAGCTCAACTTCGCCGCAGGGGATGAGTCTCCTAAGCTGCCGCTGCCGTCTCCTGGTGGCAGCCTCACCAGGAGTGGAAGTGGCTCACTGGAAGGTGGCGCTGTTGCGCTGTTTGATATGGAGTTTGCCAATGGGGAGTTTACCGAGTCTGAGAAGAAGAAGATCATGGCGAATGAGCGACTTGCTGAGATAGCTTTGACGGATCCTAAGAGGGTCAAGAGGTGTGCATTTCTTCATATACTGCATAAATTTCTCTCTTTTCCTGAAATTGGGTATTCTGACTTGTGGATTTTTTTTTTCAGGATTCTGGCGAATCGGCAGTCAGCAGCAAGGTCAAAGGAGCGCAAGATGAGGTACATTCAGGAGCTTGAGCATAAGGTGCAAGTGCTGCAGACAGAGGCTACGACACTCTCTGCACAGTTGACAATGCTGCAGGTTTGTTCTGTAGAGCTGCTGGGGACTTTGATTCAGCCTCTGATTGTGATGGTTTTGAGTTAACCTTGCTGTGCTTGTTTGCAGAGGGACTCAGCTGGACTGGCTACTCAGAACAACGAATTGAAAATCAGGCTGCAAGCAATGGAGCAACAAGCACAGCTGAGAGATGGTAAGCTTCTTGTGATACTCGTCTGCATTGGTCCTAAGTTTTCTAGTGGCAATGGACAAAATCAAGAATTTCTTGCTTCAAAAGCTAGCAAATGACTAATGTACCTTGCATTGCTCATTCTGTTGGATTTCCAATTCCAGTTGTCAAGTTGCTCACAGAAGTTACTTATGCATGGGTTGCTTGCTGTTGTAAATCTTGTGGCAGTATTTTTTGTGGTTGATGCATCTCATTCTTCAGCTTAATGTTAGTATAGAGTATAGTCATTTGGAGATTTTCCATGTGGGATATAATATACTTCTGCTGGGTTGAGTTTTGCTATTACTTAAGCTGCATCCTTAACAATGTACTTTATACATCGCAACTGGATGCATATGCTAAGTTCTACAGCCTTTTTTGCGGACACTACAGCCAATCTAACATGAAAAATAACCTGATTTGTTAATTCTTTTTGTTGATCATCAATTTTAGAGCTAAATAAACTCATGACGACACCTATGACACTGGTTCTCTTAATGCTAGTATGTGAAAATGGCCTAGAGTGAAATCGCCCTGACATATAATTTGTCAATTACTAGGTAGATACATAAATTTCTTTTGGTCATAGGCTTTTGATATGAACCATGAAATGGGCTATTAGTTCCAGATTGGTCAGTAATTTCAAATTTGATCATTGATGGATGATCAGAAACAGCACAATTATATCCTACAGAAGGCTTGTGTGGAGATTACACATCATGAGTCATGATTCTTAGCATCTTCAAGGAACTTGAAAGTTTTTTTATATGCATGCTTATTTGGTTGAACCAAACATTCTATGTGTCTTTAATAAAGGGTGAAAGTATAATTTGCGGATTATCATGATCACATAGTATATCTGCCATATCCAGTTTAGCCTGGTGCACTGTGGGTGTGTTTGGATCGTGGCGTGGGAGACTTGCCCGCATCAGGGCATTTGATTTCGAGCACTTGGGGTCAGATGCGCATGCCTGGGTGAGAGTTCCCACTTCCCAGACCAAGGCGGCATCCAAACACGCCCACATGTGTGCCATGTTTTGCTTTGGTGTCCATTGCTTATCTTGACAAGTTCTGCATAAATGTATCCTAACATTTGCTAAGTTGTTAGTAAGAGACTTTGCTTTTCCTTTCTTATTAATCAACAAAATTTAGTTTAGCAATTATCGAAACATAATTTGATAGCTAGACGAAGTTTGAGTGTCAAATGATCTTTTTCTATTTATTGTTTCTGAAATCTTACAGGAAGGATGCTTATTGTTTTCTTCCCTCTCCCTGCACCATGCATACCCTATCGTTTGTGCTTATTTATTATTCTGGTGTACCAAAATTGGTTTCAGCAAATGCTGCCTTGAGGTTAGGATTTCAGGATCAGTAAATAGCACTAGTGAATGATTTGTCATGATGCCGTGTTATTGGTTGATTTTAGTTCATTACTTAAGGTGTATTACAAGTTTGCAGTGTAACCATTACCGACTCATGTTAAACACTGATAAAGCATAGGCAGAGGTACTACTGTTCTCCCTATCATAGGGGTGACTCTAATTGGCATGATAAAACGTTGGTTTCTGTGTACGGCAAGTTGATTCTTCTTTCATGATAGTACTATTTTAGCGACTGCTAGGCCTACCTTTAGAACTTGCATGCGTGTTTGCAGAAAGACTTCCACATAGGAATCCTATATGTTTGTAATGTTGCATTACCGCCATGGTTGGTGCCACCCGCTCTACTTGTTCATGGTCATGTTGTGATCTAATTGGTACTTGCTCACCCTTCATTTGGTATTTCTTTCATTCTTTCAAGTCTTCAGATTGTGGGTTACAAATATAGTCAAGTTGCAATGTTTGCTCAGTTACAAATATAGCCATTTTGCTTTCACGATGCTGGGTGCCTGCTGTATTATTTAGTTTTGCCAATCTGTTGCACTACCTACATCCATTTATATTTTCTCTTCTTGTAATGTGATCTGATTCATGTGAATGCTCTGTGCAGCCCTGAACGAAGCGTTAACCGCTGAGGTCCAGCGTCTGAAACTCGCAACTGGGGAGATAACCGATGGCCGGATGCCGAAGGGGCTACAGCAGCAGATGAACTCCCAGATGGTCCAGCTCCAGCAGCTGCAAATACAGCAGCAGGCGCCCCAAACACAGCAGCAGCAAGGCCAGCGACAGCAGCAGCAGCAGCAGCCCCAGAAGTCGGCATAGATCAGAGTCAAGAGGAGTTGGAAGCCAATTGAAGGATGCTGGGTGGAAGAAAAAAACCCCAATCTTTTGCGTATATCAGACAGGTTGTAGGATAGCAGCGATAGTAGGGCGGGAGAAGCCGTGGTCCCGTGATTTGAGTTGTTTTCGCTGGAAATACCGTACCTTAGCTGGAGTCTGTCGTCTTGGTGTCGTACCATACATGAGTGCCTGCGTAGCGTACCTAGTGTTGAGGCGACTTGATAGCGTCCCTGAACGTGTTCTCTCGCAGTCAGGGGTGCTTCTTCTTCTTCTGTGCTTTGTCTTAAGAGGGCTAGGGTGCCACAAATGTACCTGCGTAATAGTGTAATTATTATTATCTATCTATAGCGTACCTTAGAGTTTGTGGACTGTGGAAGGATTCCCAACTTCACATGCATGTTCGTTGATCGCCAGTCAGTGGCTGCTGTTGGTTGCGTTGCCTTCTAACTGCTGACTGCTGTGGGCTGGTCACTGGAGCCTTGGGGGCTGTAAGAGTGTAGAGAATGGGAGAGAACACACCGCACAGTTTCCATTACATTCAGGAGAGGTTAAATACGTGAACCGGTGAATCACACACTACCAGCCGATCCTATAATTCAGGCATGGTGGGTGATGGAGCCGGTGCTCAGCCGTTACAACGAGAGGACTAAGTCCTGACCACTCAATCCTAACTAACACGCTAACACCCCCAGTCTGTGCATTAGAATGATGAATGCAGAGACTGTTTCTGAACTCTTGGAACAAAGGCGTAGGCAATCCTTTAGTCATGATGTCTGCCTCCTGGTGAAGTCGCTGTACGGCCTCAAACAAGCACCGTGGGCCTGGTTCCAACGCCTTGGTGCTCACCTACGCTTCATCGGAGCATGTAAGAGTGTAGAGAATGGGAGAGAACACACCGCACAGTTCCATTACATTCAGGAGGGGTTAAATACATGAACCGGTGAATCACACACTACCAGCCGATCCTATAATTCAGGCATGGTGGGTGATGGAGCCGGTGCTCAGCCGTTACAACAAGAGGACTAAGTCCTGACCACTCAATCCTAACTAACACGCTAACAGGGGCCAGCACCAGCAAGCACATGGTGCCTGATTCTGCTGCGCACTGTGAAGTGGTCTTCTGCTGACTTTGATATATATGCTTGCAACCGGAGTGGGTTTTGTGGAATCCTAGCGTGGCATGGACTGTGTCCAAGCTGCAAAAGTGCAGATCGTGAAGGGTTGGTGCCCACTGCCCACACACGTCACTGCGGTGGAGTGTGAAGTAGCCGAGGTCAGATGATCGCTGTACTTTTTCGGTCTCCTTGCCGTTGTAGGAAGTATGGAGACTGATTGAGATGGCTAAAGTCTCGCTCGTCGTCGTCAACGGTTGATATTGTTTGGTTTGCTGGATCACTGGCACAAGAAAATCCCTGGATAGGGAATATATGTTGGATTTTCTGGTTCGTAAAAATCTCGCGGATCAGCTTATCCAAGTCTTCTAATATCTGTCATTAGCAAATAAATTAAAGATTATTAGTATGCTATATTATTACTTAGTAATTATGATGGTAGGATTAGTTTTGATAAGTGCTAATACATTGATTAGTGCATGTTTTGCATGCTAATTAGGATATTAGTGGTGCTAATTAACATATTTTATTTAAAATGTGAGTATCCTAACAAAATTAGTATTAATGCACATTTATCAGTGTCTAATTAGTTGTTATTATTTTAAAATAATAGATATAATTAGTGAACTATTCTTATCCCATCCACTTTTATTCATCCAACCAAACAGAAAAATAACTCGTCCCATCCATTCAACTAAACATGCATCATAAATATCCTTATGCCGCTATCGTCGTATCCCATCCAACCTCATCATAGAACCAAACGCAGCCCTAAGGGCAAGTACAACGCGTCTGTAGGAGCCGTCTCCATGAGGCAAGATTTGCAGAAAGCACCCTCGTAGGCAATAGACAGGCCGAGGCCGTCGTCTCACGAGACGACGGGGTGGGCTCGTGCTCCCATGCTGAATCGACGCTCAGATTACCTGTTGTACCAATCCCGTCGATGTAGCAACAGATCGGGTAGATCCCGCGCGGCCCCAGCACAAGAGAAGAAACACGCGAGCTCTGGCACAGGAGGAGATGTACATGGTGTGCGGAGGTAGGAGTGCTGCAGCGAAGCCCTGAGAGGAGGAGATCGACCTACCCATTGCATTGCCCCTAGACGCCGGCCCGAAGTCGCCGCCGTCATCATCCACGGGACACGGGGAAAAAGCTCCTCTTGCCGCATAGACCGAGCTAGCCGTCAACCCTGCTGCTACTCACTGTGCCCGGCCAAGCTTCGTCTTGCCGCACATATTGCTCCTCATCGCCGAGCTATGAAGGAAATAGTAGAGAGAAGAGGGAATATTTCTTTAGTGATGCTTCGAGGGAGCAGCCAAGAGCCTTGCTATCTTTTATCCGGTTTTGATTTTTACGTGAGTTAAACTTATATATCTTGATAGTATCTCTGACTTTGATAGTATGAATACCTTATTTAATTTATGTTTGATCCGTTTTTTATCAAATAGCAACACAATGGTTACAAAATAGTCTTTATAATTAATCTTGACTATGTACAAAGCATTAAACAACTTACAAACAGTCTATTGTACAACATTTTTTTTTAGTTGTCTCTACGTCGGATTGCCATAAAGATTCTTGCGCCGTCCGTCGGTGCGTGCCCCGACAACGTGACCGCTGCGGACCGGGCCTGCTGCTGTTCGTTGGGGCTGGGGCAGGCCCAAGGGGTGCAGCAAGGCTCGAGTGATCGATTGGGCGAGGCAGTTGGGCACTTGGTCTGGGCCGCCTGTGTGATCAAGGTCGCAAAGGACCGAGGGGCCTTGCGCCCTTGCCGCCTTGGAGCTTGGTGGCGGCCGAACTACTACTGGCCGTGCCCGTGGCCCGTCCTGTGCGTGTCTGCCGCCGGACAGATCGACCGCGACGTTCCATTTCATTCAACCGGCGGGCGCGCCGGGGCCGCCGGGATCGGCGGCACCGCTCCCGTTGCCGTTACAGCAATCGCACAAAGAAAATAGACGAAGTCCTCGCCGCACCCTAGGGCTCTTCTCTCTTTCCCCTGCGGCGGCGGCCGGGACGGGGGCTATCGATCCGCCTCTATCTATCATACCAGATAGGAGAGGAGAACGAGCTTCTTACAACTATACTGTACGTGCTCTTAGATCCCTCCTTCTTCTTCCGATGAGATGCAATCGCGGTATCAGTTCCTTTAATTTACGGTGATAAACGTTCTGTGTGTACTTATTCGTTTTTGTTCTTCTTGTTCTTCTGCGGCGGCAGGATTTGGGGGTACCCGACGAGCGGCGCGCTATGGAAACCCATGGCGTAGGTGCGGCCTGGGTCAACCTGAAGCGGAGTCATAAGCGGACAGCGGAGCGGAGTCACAAGCAGAGTCCGCTATGGAAACCGGCGGAGCCGCCTCGGCGAAGCCGAAGCAGAGTCCTAAGCGGTGGGACTGGGTTGTAAAGTATCCAGAAGGGCGGATGCCTCTTCTTCAAGTCCAGAAAGAGCTTGAGAAACTGCAAGTCTCGGATCGTTCCGAGGGCTTCGTCGAAACCAACGTGAGTATATCACATCCCTCTTTATCGACGCACGTTTTGCTGATCATGGAATTGAGCCATGGACCTTCCTTTTTTTTTTCCCTGAAAGGACCTAACCGTACAAGAAGACGTAACAGATCACTTTTTTACCTATTGAAACATACACTGCAGCATCAATATCATAAGTGTCCTACCTTGCACCCTGGGTGAGGGAGTGAGCATACCATGATTAAATTGTAGCATAGATTTATTATTAGTTTGTTATCTTGGACCCTGGAAAAATTATTTTATCATTGCATATGAATTTTTTTAAATATCACACACGTGCATTTCTACTAGTGACTCGTAAAAACTAAAACTTTTTTTTTACAGAAGATACGGGTAGGAGCATTATTGATATCACTGAGGGTGGTGGTGGGATTGTGGGCATGGACATTCTGCGCATTATAGAGAACTATGATGATGCTAATTGGTGCACTACAGAGGTCCCTGATGATAGTCAGGCAAGGGCGAAAGTGAAGATGACAGAGGAGAAGCTTGGGGAGATCCCTGATGATATGGCTACTAGGGAGAGGGAGGATTGGAAGGAGAAGAGGAAGCCAAAGGAGAAGGGGAAGGAGAAGGTGAAGGTGACAGAGGAGAAGCTTGGGGAGATCCCTGATGATATGGCTACTAGGGAGAGGGAGGATTGGAAGGAGAAGAGGAAGCCAAAGGGGAAGAAGGGGAAGGAGAAGGAGAAGGAGAAGGAGGAGAAGCCAAAGCGGAAACCCAAGAAGCGCAAGCCCAAGGTGAAAAAGCTGAAGGAGAGGGATCAGTGGTACATGGATGATCGGGATCAGATTCTTCTCAGGGCTCTTCTGGGCCCAGAACTGAAATGGGAGGAGAAAGGTGATGGATATTCTTCATGTGGTTTGCCGCCGAGGGTTCACTGAATACAACAACAAGATGCAATGTCATGTCCCTACCCGCTTTTGTCTATACAACATAGCCTTCTTCGACCTCGATAAAGAGTGTAAGCACATTCTGAATCTTTGTTCATTTATCTTCCTTGCTCTCATTCCCATGGAGTACAGGCATGTATATCCAAGGAAACAGCTGTGTGTATTCTTTGGCTATGTCCATCACATGTCCCAATGCATATAATATGATGTATATATATATGTATGTATAAAAATCATATTCTTGGTCTAATTTCCATTGTCGGCCTTCATTTTACAGCTGAGGATGTGCCCTGGCCACCGATTCACCAGATCCCTCAACCTCTTCGTAATTGGTTGTATGACTCTATCAATGTGTTTGCAATCAAAGTTGCCCAGTCAAACAGGAAAGGCCCTATTAGCATATATGGTACTGTGCTGGTGAGGGATGAGTACGACTATAGATGCATCTATCTGTTCAGGCGTGGAAGGGATGATCCCCAACTCATAACCCGAAAGGTACGTATCCAATTCATTCCCCAAAATCTTGTGGTTGCCGAATTCTGGCCAGGGAAAAAATCCTAGTCAAACACTCAACATCGGGAAGTCAGGAACTAATCCCCATCTTTGGGTCAAACTACAGTTGTATAGTTCCATAGACTTTTTTTTGACTGAAATACTTCCATAGACTTGCATGCATATACTGTACTGCTGAAATATTCAATCTGTCGCCAAAACACCATTGTGATACAATCTGAATATCTGATTCACAAATACACAATGTTCTTATATTTTGCAAAAAGAACAATCCTGTTCAATGAGGTGAAAATCTAATTCGCCCATGTTGTCTTTTTTTTTAGAGTTCTAGGACCAACTGGTCCCCGTCTTCTATCATTAGATAAAAGACCAGAGGTTCGTTACAGCATCAAAGGTGGTATACCACCTGAAATCTAGTGTAACCCGTTTACCAAACACCAGCAACTAAGACAGGGACTAGAGCAGAACCGCTAAACCATCCTCACAAAAGAAGACTAAAACAGCAACTAAGCAGCAACATCAAAACGCTATCTTCAGACTAGGTCTTCACAGGCAACCTCCAGTTGTTTGGCGATATCTTGATCATTCCATCCCTTCCATCCTCCATCAACAGCTTCATATGTTCGAGGCGCCATTCATTAGATGACCCCCAGCAGGAAGCTGTCTTGATTTCTTCATCTGGCTTGTTAGGCAGTGTCTTGATCCTTTCATCCTTGTCATCCTCCACCAACAGTTTCATATGTTCACACCGCCATTCATTAGACCTCTCCAAGCAGGAAGCCATCTTGACTTCTTCAACTGAAATTTGAGCTCGGCAGTAGCTCCCTTCATTCGATCCTGGTTCTCCACAGGACACAGAATTAGCCAACGCCCATGTTGTCTGATTAACAAGGTGGTAAAATTTATAAGTTTATCGAGTCTTGGATCTTTTGTGGGTTTTAAATGAACCCAACTGTTTTGGTAGTACTTATGTTTGGTATCTACCCAAACTTTTTGTCAGTCTGAACTATATGTCTTGTCAAGCCTGGTTCCTTTTTTTTGTTTGTATTTTAACACTTTTCTCTTAATCCCTATGCAGGATAGAACACTGACTTTGATCAGCCCAATTCGAGCACTTGCTGTAAGGGATAGTATGTTTTTTGAGTTCCATTTGAAGATCAAGGGTGGTGATGCTGCTGACGAAGATTTCAGCAAAGGTTTCATAGAACACAGCGCCATCCGTCACACGCAGCAACCCACCAGGCGTGCACTTTAAGCTTCCATTGCAGTCAGTATCTTGAAGGCTCCCTCTGATTTCACCAGCAAACTTACTGCTTGGACTACTGGAAATGATGAAAACAAAATCGTGCTGTACGACAGTGAAGGGGCAGGCACTCGAACAGAGCTTGGACCTGGTGAATCTGTCTCTGGTTTGGTAGCTGTCCCACTGGGTGAAGAATTGGTACTCCATGTCTCTCTTGCTGATGGGGTTCAACATCAGCTAGAAGAATATTTTACCCTCGTTATAGGGCCCGATGTCGATGAACGCACTCTTGAGCAAGGTCCTTATAGGATGCAGGTTAAAATCTCATGGAAGGGTGTCGTAAACCACCAGCCAGGTTTCAAACTGCGGGGTCGTCCTAATATGTGGGGTTATATTGCTGACCGTCGAGTTCTGTTATCATAGGCTGTGATCCTTTCTAGGAAAGCAAGGAAAGTAGTTACATCTCATGGGAAATGTCTGTTTTGCAAGGATTATAAAATGCTGCACATTTTAGACCTGTTGAAGAGTTGTTCATGTGTCATGTGTGGTTCATGACTTTCCTATGCATCATCATAACCTTAATCAGGCTTTGTCAACCTCTTTGGATTCCTGTGTTTTCGGAGTTAAATAATTTAGCTGTGCACAATAGCTTATATTTTTGGAGCTGAATATGAATATTTTGGCTGGACACTTACACTCTTTCGTGCTTAGGATGTTTTTTGTTTTGTTTTGTTTTTGTGTTTGAATGAGACGCTTACGAAATTTGGACAGTTCCGGTCCTTGTGTCCGCGTGGGACGACGGACTGTGTCCAAGATGCAAAAAGTGCATGCAGTGTGCAGACTGCAGAGCGGGAAGGCTTGGTGCCCACGCACGTAACTTGGGTGGAGTGTGAAATCTGAAATGGCCAAGATGATCGCTGTACTTGTTGGGTGTCCCTGCCGTTGGTTGGAACTGATGGCTGAAAGTCTCGCTCGTTGTCGAATCCTGCTCCGTCGACGGTGCGTGCCGTGCACCGAAAGCGTGGCCGCTGCGGGCCGGGCCGGCCTGCTGCTGTTCGTCGGGGATGGGACAGGCCCGCAGGGGTGCAAGGCTCGAGTGACGGATCGACCAGACATCAGGGCTCACTGAGCGAGGCAGTTGGGCACTTGGGCTGGGCCGCCTGTGTGATCGAGGGGGCCCCGCCTTGGAGCCTGGTGCTGGTGGTGTCCGAACTTGGCCCCCGTGGCCCCGCCGCCGGACCGACCGCGGCGTTCCATTTCATTCAATTCAACCGGGATCGGCGGCGCCGCTCCCGTTGCAGCACAGCACAGCACTCCTACGGAATACGGCATCGCCATGCATGCACGGTCCGCAGTCCGCACGTCTCAGAGAGAGAGCCCTGCAGCCCGCCTCGTGCTCGTGCGTGCGTGTTTGGCAAGCACCCAGCCGGCCGGTCGCTTGCACATGACCTGGAAGCTCGATCTATCGCCACGAGCGAAGAAGCGAACCAACCGGGTGGGTGAGAGACTCTGAGACTGAGAGCACGCACACGGCACACCGCATCGATCGGCAAGTGGTACGCGCTCGTGCCGTCCGGCTTAGTCAAAGTTGGACCGGCGGCATCATCTATTGTCGCGTTCGCGTACGGCGTACACCGTACACGTACATACGTGGCGAACCAAGCCGAGGAGACCTTTGAATTCAAGCACACACGTGTGCTACGCGAGCGTGCTATAATCTTGATGACAAGGCAAACAGCAGAGTTCCAGGCGCGTCACACGTACGATCCCAGACAACAGACAAGCCAATAAACGGCTGGACGGACGTACAGCGGCTGGGAACAAAAGTCACCGGCCGGTCCATTCTGAATGATGATATGATATGATATCGAAACGAAACCCTAGCTAGCTTCGCTTCTGGATCCATGGCTGCCACCTGCCAACTTACCGTACTTGCATCAGATCATTTGTAGCAGGCTGCTAGCTATGCTGGTACTGAGTCCCCGTTTTTTTTTTGTCTTTGCATACCCTGTGGACGCAGCGTTTGCACGTGTGTGCATGCATCCAGATCCAGTTCGTTCGTTCGTTCGTCCATCCAAGTTATTAGAGACTTGGAGGACGTACGATGCAGTTTATGTGCCGCACTGCACAGGCACAGCACAGTTGCAACGTGGAAACTCAATCGGATTGGATGCAAAATTTTCGATCTCATCGGCTACCGTACGTACCGTCCATGGACACGCATGTTGGTTTAGTCTTTGGATGGGAGCTGGAATTTCTTCAAACCGTAATGGCACCCACCATGCATGCATAGTACTACTGCTCCTCCTAGCTGACTTGTGCATGTTCTACGCAAGATCGATATGACATGACCGAGTAGCTCCAAATAAGGACACTATGGACTGATTTGTGTGGGTTAAATGTGTATATAGGTCGTAGTAGCTTGCAAGCCTAGCTAATTTAGGCAATGAGACGCGTACGTCAAGTAATTAATTAAGGAAATCGGGAAAAAAGAGTAATTAATTAAGGAGTTATTAGTCAGTATCACTGACATACTATATACGTACTCCCCCGTACGTGTTGTCATTCACCCCCGGCCGTTCATCCTTATATTACTACTTCAGTCCACCTGAAAGAGCTATGTCATTTGTTAAAAACGGTCAGTTCTACTGACTACCAGTTCTTCGAATGCATGGATTATTTATGTTTGCCCCCCCCCCCGCCCTCAAGTGTGCAGTACTAATAAAAATGCAAATGCAAGCAGCAGTACTGTAGAATGGTACTGTGTATTTGGACTGAGATGAGAACACACATCATATATATATATATATATATATATATATATATATATATATATATATATATATATATTATATTGGTGATTTTTAGCATTTTTTAGTTGGTGATTTTTTTAGCATTTTCGTTGTTATTTAGCAATTAGTGTTCAATCATAGTCTAATTAGGCTTAAAAGATTCGTCTCATGAATTTTATCTAAACTGTGTAATTAGTTTTATTTTTTATTTATATTTAATGCTTCATGCATGCGTCCAAAGATTTCATGTTAAAAATTTTTGCAAAATTTTGGAAACTAAACAATCACATAGCATGATCCATGTACTCTGCATGCATATAGCAGCTATACATGCATTATATTGCCATAACACTAGAGAGAATCGAAGCTGCATCATCACGCAGCATGCAGGTGGCAGCTGACACCTGACATTTATACTAAATAATGAAATATACTAATTTCCTCGGTGTGCCCATACGTTGCATTAATCATTTGGAAGTTGACATACATATACATACAAATCAGCATAGTCAAGGGCTAATCATATACCGTCACGCGCGCGTGGCATGAAATTAAAGACTCACGCGCTAATGCTGAAATTTGGCTTATGCTGATGCTTATGCTGAAATGTTGTGAGAGAAAAATCACTACAGCAGACACGTGCTTTGCCCAGTGCTACACTCGGCAAAGAACTGTCGGCATATCCCTTCACGGCAAAAGCTTCTTTGCCGAGTGCCGCATGTCGGGCACTCGACAAAGGATTTCCCGAGTGCCACGACGGCACTCGGCAAAGAAAAGCCGCCGTGACGGCCAGGTCATGATGACGGCCCCTTTGCCGAGTGCCACGTGTCGGCACTCGGCAAGAAAATGTGTTTTTTATTTTTATTTTTAAAAATGCTTTGCCGAGTGTCCGCATCTGGCACTCTACAAAGCTTGTTTTCTTTCTTTTTGGATTTTCTTTGCCGAGTGTTGTAGGTAGGCACTCGGCAAAGCAGTTTTTTTGAATTTTTTTTATCGAGTGCCTTGCCCATGGCACTCGGCAAAGCTGGGAAGCTGAGTGTCGCAGATTCCCAGCTTTGCCGAGTGGCAAAGAAGTGAAAAAAATCATTTTTTTGGTTTTTAGTCTTCCATCGTTGTAAACAAGGATATACATCATATATATATAACACAACTATATATCACACAAATGTATATCACAATCCACCACAAACATAAACATAGCATACAAGTATCACAATCTCGACTCCCAAGTCCAAAGTCCAAACACACAAGCATAGTTCACAAAGTTTATAAGTGCATTATATCACAACGGCTGCCATTGAAGCTCACGGCGACGGTCCGGGTTGGGATGGCCAAACATGCAACCCCGGCGATCCTCCGAGGTGGTTCGACGCCGCCCCGATTGATGCTGCACAAAATCGAAGAGATTGCACGTGAGCGACAAGAGAAGAGATAAATATGCAAGATAAATATCCACCACCACCACCACATCACCGCCATCACCAACACTTCACCACCACCACCACCACCACATCACCACCATGACCACCACCACCACCATGAGCACCACAACACCGTGACCACCACCACCAACACCACACCACCACCACCATGACCACCACACCACCATGACCACCACACCACCACCACCACACCACCACCACCACCACCACCACCACCACCACCACTAGGTTTCTCTAGGTTTTACTAGGTTTCTCTAAGTTTCAGCATAGAAAGTAAAACTTCGTACTTATACTCACCGGGGTAGAATCAGGACGTTGTGGAGGTGGATCTGGAGCAAGCAGCATCTGTGGGATCGCCCAACCTTGTTGCTGGCCAATTTGCTGCATGAACTTGATCATCTCGGCCATCTGCCGCTGATCTTGCTCCCGCTGGGCCTCCAAAGCCTATAGCCTCTGTCGCTCGACCTCCCGCTCGGCCTGCAGTTCCTACACCTGGGCCTACAGCATTTGACCCCAATGTTTCAATAATGCATAGGTAAGATATGTAAAAGTCAAAGAACGACAAATGAAACAGGAATGCTTACCTGGAGTACCGACACCGTGGTCGGCCGTTGGCGTATGGGCACGCTTGAGCTCATGCTCGCTGCTCGGAGCTGGTGGAGAGGAGGAGTAGAGGCCGTGTCGAGGATGCTGTCGCCAATCTAGAACCGCCCATGCTTCTTGCCTTGCCCCACCCTCATCACGAGCTGAGGATCAAGGCGCTCCTCGGTTCTCGGATCGTAGCCCGGCCCATGGACTGACCTTGCCGCCTCCGTGTACGAAGAGAGGCGGGTGTGGACGCTGGAGTTGGTGTACGCCTCAAGCGGGGCATCTGGGTCGTACTCGATGTCGGCCGTCGCCTTGCCCATGTGAGATAGAGCATATGCCTTGAGTTGACCAACTAGCTGGCCACCGTGTGCATCTGACTACGAGAAAGACAACAACATGTGGTTAGAAATGATGCAGAATTGAGCGCGGCTAGATTAGAGCAATGTCGGAGACTTACATATGCCTTTGTATATTTGCTGAGGCTACGGCTGCCCTGATGGTGAGGTACACCTGGCATCTGCAAACGCCTATCGCGGGCCTCATCGTGCTTCTTCTGGCAGTCCCCGTCCAACTAGGTGTCCACAATATATTCCCAGCAATC